CAGAGACAAGAACGCAAGGGCACCCTCGAGGGGAGTACACGTCCTTACTGAGGTTGTTGACTGTACCATACCCCATACACACCACATCGCGGGCAAACTGGCAAGACATCTCCCAAAACAGAAAAGCCTCTGCAACAACGTGCGTGACTCCCTCCGCCTTCCCCCCCTCCGTCGTCCTTTGGCGTGGTGTGCTTCCTTCTCCTCGTTATCCACTCCCTCTGCCGGCTGATTTAAGCGAGGGCCCCGCTCTGTTTCACCAGGTCGTATTCGGAAACTCCGAGGGTGGCACATGTTTCGCCTGGGCGTTGTTGCGAACGCCCAGGCGAAACATGTTGGATACCCTCCTGGGTGGCCTGGACACGTGAAAACACGTGGTTCCAGCGCGGGGCCACCATGTTGGATACCCTCCTGGGTGGCCTGGACACGTGAAACGCGGCGCCCATTGGCTTACTCCGACGTGCGTTCCGCGCGTGAGCGCTCGCACGCGTCGCCCATTGGCACACTGCGAAGTGCGTTCCGTGTGTGCCCGCTCGCACGCGGAGCCCATTGGCTTACTCCGAAGTGCGTTCCGTGCGTTACTCCGATGTGCGTTCCGTGCGTGCCCGCTCGCACGCGGCGCCCATTGGCATACTCCGAAGTGCGTTCCGTGCGTGCCCGCTCGCATGCGTCGCCCATTGGCACACTGCGAAGTGCGTTCCGTGTGTGCCCGCTCGCACGCGGAGCCCATTGGCTTACTCCGAAGTGCGTTCCGTGCGTTACTCCGATGTGCGTTCCGTGCGTGCCCGCTCGCACGCGGCGCCCATTGGCATACTCCGAAGTGCGTTCCGTGCGTGCCCGCTCGCACGCGGCGCCCATAATAATTTCGCCGGCCCTACTCCGTGCGTGCCCGCTCGCAAAATAATTTCGCCGGCCCAAGTCGCAGGGGGGCCGGGGGGTTAACCTACTAAAAGAGAACCCTGGGCCCGCGCCCTTTCCGGGAAAAATGAGTTTGGCGCTGGGCGCTAGGCGAAAGCCACATTTTGAAAACGGCCCCATACTCACACATGTTTGGAACATCTGCAAGAATTGGGGACGCCTTCATCCTGGAAACTGTTGCAACTGTTTAAAGCGAACGTGTACGGCGCTAAGGCGATAGACACTTGTGAAACCAATCATTGACACTGTTTCATACGTTCATACATGTTACACGTATGCGCGCGGCGCTGAGGCGAGAAACACAGTTTGAAAACGACATCCCTCCATCCTTGAACCTGCTACAAACGTTTAAGACGAACGCACGCGGCGCTAAAGCGAGATTCGCAGGGTGAAAACCACCCCCCATCCATCGATGAAACTGACGCAAACTCTTAACACGACTGTGTGCGGCGCTAAAGGGGAGCCACATGTTGAAAAGAAACCGACTTCATCCAGAAACTGTTGCACATGTTCGACGCGAATGCGCGGGGCACTGAGGCGAGAGCCATATTTCGAAAACCACCTGTGTTCCAACCTTGACACTGTTGCAAACTGCAAAAGTGGAATATGAATGTGCGAGCGACACTGAAGCGAGAACCATATTTTAACATGATCGACCCACGAACCCGGAAAGGAATATAGAACTGTAACACATGGCAGCGTTTTCAAAGACACCTGATTGGGTGACGGGCAAATGCAATGCTGAGTGTATCGATCTTGATGTACCCTGCCAAGGGCTGTGCTGTGCTGCGCCGTGCTGAATTGCGATGTGCCATGGCGCGACTGCGCTCTATAGCGTCGTGGATCGAGTCCTCCTTTGCATCCGAGTCCTGACCGAACTGATCTGGATCTTAAGCTCGAGCTGCCTGAACACATAGTAGCTGCCCCAGAGCTAATGGACAGGGGAACATGCCAGGAGGACGCGCCGCGAAACGTCCCAAGGGATGCGCCAGGCGACGTGCCAGGGGACGTGCCATGGGGTCGCACCGCGGGACGTGCCAAGGGGACGCGCTACGGAACGTGCCAATGGATGTGCCACGGAATGTGCCAGGGGACGCGCCACGCGACGTGCCAGGGGGACTCGCCAAGGGACGCCCCACGGAACGTGCCAAGGAACGTGCCAAGTTGCAATGCTGAGTGTATCGATCTTGATGTACCTGCCGAGGGCTGTGCTGTGCTGCACCGTGCTGAATTGCGATGTGCCATGCCGCGGTTGTGCTCTATAGCGTCGTGGATCGAGTCCTCCTTTGCATCCGAGTCCTGACCGAACTGATCTGGATCTTAAGCTCGAGCTGCCTGAACACATAGTAGCTGCCCCAGAGCTAATTGACAAGGGGAACATGCCAGGAGGACGCGCCGCGAAACGTCCCAAGGGATGCGCCAGGCGACGTGCCAGGGGACGTGCCATGGGGTCGCAACGCGGGACGTGCCAAGGGGACGCGCTACTGAACGTGCTGGGGACAAGCGTTTCGCTCGAGACATCCTATCACAATCATGTGCTGGGGACAAGCGTTTCGCTCGAGACATCCTCTCAAAATCATCCGAATTCCTACGCGCGGGACGCGGCACGCGCGAGACATCCTCGGAATTCCTGCGAGCGGGACACGAAAACAAGCATTGCGCCTGAGAAATCCTCTGAATTCTGGCCCCCCACGAGGCCCCCGCTCGAGACATCCCCCAATTTTGCAAAACCAGCGTTTCGCTCGAGACATCCTCAACAAATTATGAAAAACAAGCGTTTCGCTTGAGAAATCCTGTCAAAACCCAAAGAAATCAAAATTCCTGCGTGCGGGACGCGGCACGCGCGAGACATCCTCGGAATTCCTGCGCGAGGAGCGCTTTTCCGTGTCGCGGTCGGCTCTGCAAAACCAGCGTTTCGCTCGAGACATCCTCAACAAATTCTGAAACCAAGCGTTTCGCTCGAGACATCCCCAACTCTGCAAAACCAGCGTTTCGCTCGAGACATCCTCAACAAATTCTGAAAAACAAGCGTTTCGCTCGAGACATCCTCAAAAATAATTTCGCCGGCCCTACTCCGTGCGTGCCCGCTCGCAAAATAATTTCGCCGGCCCAAGTCGCAGGGGGGCCGGGGGGTTAACCTACTAAAAGAGAACCCTGGGCCCGCGCCCTTTCCGGGAAAAACGACATCCCTTCATCCTTTCAAATGTTGCACTATCTGAAACGAATACGCGCCGCACACAGGGTAGTACACGGCGAGGGAGTCTGAGGCGAAACGCCTGGCCCACCCTACCGACACGTCTGGGGGTGCGACAGGGAGTTGTTCATGAGGACAGAGGATGAAGGCGAAGGAGGAGGAGGGGGAAGGAGGAGGGACAGGAGGGGGGAAAAGAAGAAGGGGGGAAGGGGGGAAAGGACACGATGTGATACGACTCACCCTTGGGATGGCGGGCGACACAGAAAAACACCACAGACTAGGGAGGCTCGAGCACCCTGGAAATCACCTCAAAAGCAGACCTGCAAGCTCTCAGGGACGCTTGGGGTCTCTCCAGCCTTATGGCTTAGATTTCTGGATCAAGCCTAGCTGGTCCCACCTAATGATGCGGCCCCAGGCACACCTAGTGTAGGTCTTCGAGGAACGAAAGCTCGGGGAATCCCACACACACACACACACACACACACGCACACGCACACGCACACACACACACACACACACACACCGATTTGGGGACACCCAGCCAAAACCTTGGGCCGTCGTCAAAACCGCGGGCCGGTCACTCTGCTTTGGTGAGGCTGGAGATGGTTCCACCAGCTGAGACACGTCACAGCACAAATTATACTCGACTAGATCCTTGGCACGTCCCTGACCTGACAAGCTCTTCTCGCTTTGTACACTTCCAAGGCCTCTTCGAAGCAGTTGCGGGTCCTACTGATCCAGCTGATTAACGCCGAAACGCATGCGCGCGCGGAATATACAAAGGCACACCATCAGGGAGGAGGAGGAGGAGGAGGAGGACGACGAGGAGGACGAGGAGGACGAGGGGGAGGAGAAGAGGCACAATAACAAGGTTGACACGGGACCTTGTGGCACGTCCACTGGGCCGCAATTACTGGGGCTGCCCTTAAGAGACGACAACGGACCTAACGGCTTGGTCCTCAGCATTCCCCCCAAAACGACCTAGCTAGCAACCCTGCTGGGTTTTCGCTGCTGGCACTGCACCGACACGCATACCTGACAACTGTGTCGTGTAGCCTGGAGAGGCCTCGTCTTCAGCGAAGCACCTGTCCCAGGAAACTGAAGGAATCCTTAGGAAACCTGGCTGAGGAATCCCCGGAACTCCGAGGGAAGCTGAAGGACTCCTGGGGATCCCTAGGAAATCGTACGGGATCCTGCGGGATCCTTAAGAGCCCCTAGAAATCCTGCGGGACCCAGAGAATCCGAACGAGTCCTTAGAAATTCCCCACGGATCCGCTGGAGCCCTCAATCAGTTCAGATACTTCCCTGGGCCGCTCGGATGGCGTAACGAGGTTGTCCAACACGTACTGCGAGCGAAGACGAACGAGGCGCAGCCCGCATCCTTGCGACGCTTGGAGGTGTGCAAGATCCACCTCGCCTGCCCCGTCGTTCGTCCGGCACTCGATTGAACGCTCCGACCCACGGTCGCTCGCGCCTGACGTCAGTCGGGTGTGGCGCTCGCTCCGGGAAGTCGAGACGGAGGGGCGAGGGTATAGAGGACAAGGAGGGACGGGGGAGGGAGAGGAACAGGGCGAGGGAGACGGGGACAGGAGAGGGAAGAGAGCAGGGTGGAGGGGGAGGAAGGGAGGAGGGGAAGGGGGAGGGGGAAGGGGCGAGGGAACAGGAGGAGGTGGCGGGGGGGGGAGACCCAGACATCCGATGTCTGGGCTTGTTGGATACAAGTTTCCCCAAGTCGCGACCCTTTCCCAAGGGCCAGCTTTTCATCGTGAATCGTTGCTAACCCGCTCGAAGTCCGTCGAAAAAACGACGACGCCAAAAAACGACGAAACAAAATCATCGCTGTGTCTCATGTCGCTGGAGTCTGAGGAAGGAGAAGGGGAAGGGTGAGGGCGCAGGGGAGGATGGGGGAGGCGTCCCAACTGAACCTGCGTCCCAGGCGGACGGCTCGGCGTCATGGCGGCGAGCTACTCTCATGACCTCCCTCCTCCACGCTCCCACCCCTCCCTCCTCCCTCCTCATCATCCACATCATCCTTCACATCATCCTTCTCCTCCGCCTCACCATCATCATCACCACCATCATCATCAGCATCATCACCACCACCACCATCATCACCATCATCATCATCATCATCATCATCATCATCATCAGCAGCATCAACATCAGCATGAGCATAGTCATCATGATCAGCATCAGCATCATCATCATCAGCAGCAGTATCATCAGCATCGTCATCATCATCATCATCAGCATCATCATAATCATAACCATAACCATCAGCATCGTCATCATCATCATCATAACCTGCAGCATAGTCATCCTCATCATCAGCATCATCATCAGAAGCAGCAACATCGTCATTATCATCATCATCATCAACAACCTTATCATCACGATCATCATCACAATCACCATCACCAACACCATCACAATCACAAACCGTCATCATCATCGTCATCATCATCACCGCCACCCTCATGAATCGTGAGAATGATCATGGTCAGGAAAATCACCATCAGCAGCAACACCATCCTTCATCATAAGAAGCAGCATAGTCATATTCATATTCATTAGTAGCATCATCATCAGCATCAGCATCAGCATCAGCATCATCATCAGCATCATCAGCATCATCATAATCATCGGAATCATCGTCAGTATCACCATCAGCATCATCATCATCACCATCAGCGTCATTATCACCAGCAACAACGGCATCACAATCATCATCATCATCATCAGCAGCAGCAGCAGCATCATCGTCATCATCAGCATCATCAGCAGTATCGTCATCATCATCATCATCAGCATTGTCATCATCATCATCATCATCATCATCATCATCAGCAACAGCATCATCATCATCATCGTCGTCGTCGTCAGCGTCAGCATCACCATCAGTGTCATCATCATCAGCATCGTCATCATCATCATCATCATCATCATCAGCATCATCATCATCATCATCATCATCATCATCATAATCATCATTGTCATCATACTCATCATCAACATCATCATCAGCAGCATCATCAGCATCAGAATCAGCATCAGCAGCATCATCGCCGTGGTCATGTTCATGATGTCTCATCCTCAGTGTCCCTACCCGCCTTCCTGCTCAACCTCCTTCTCATTAATCTCCTCCTCATCATCATCACACCCACCATCATCATCATGAACAGCAACAGCATCATCAGCATCATCATCATCAGCATCAGCAGCTGAATCAGCATCATTATCAGTAGCATCAGCAGCAGCATCATCATCAGCATCAGCATCAGCATGATCATCATCATCATCATCATCAAAATCATCATCATCATCATCGTCATCATCATCAAAATCATCATCATCATCATCATCATCATCATCATCATCATCATCATCATCATCATCTTCATCGGTATCAGTTTCGTCGTCAGCATCCTCTCCCCTCCTCCTTCTCCTCCGCCTCCGCCGCCTCCTCCTCCTCCTCCTCCTCGTCCTCATCCTCCTCCTCTTCGCCCTCCTCCGTCTCATCTTTCTCCTCCTCCTCATCAGCAGCAGCAGCAGACCTATCATACTGCTCGTCCTCTTCCTGATCATGCTGATGTAACGCATTATGTTGCTCGTACTCCTTCTCATTACTTCGCCACTCATCAGCACCACCACCACACCACTACCACCAAGGACACCCTCGCCATGGTCATCACCACCATCACCATCGTCATGATGATCATCGGCAGTAGCTGTACAATCGTCATCATAACCATCATTGCTACAACCGTCAAGATTGCCATCCTCATGTTACACGTCGTCCGCAATCCCTGCCGCCATGCTCCCGCCCCCACTGTCGTCATCTTCTCCTCCTCGTCCCCCTTCTCCACCGCACAATCATCACAGTCATGATCAGCAGCATGCAGTGTCAGAAGCATCAGGAACCTTAGAAGCATCAACCTGAGTACCAACAAGTTCAGCATAAGCATCAGCAGCATCAACATCTGCATCATCAGCAGCAGCATCATCAGCATCGTCATCATCAGCATCACCAACATATTCATCATCAACATCATCATAATCATCATCAGCAGCGGCATCGCCGTCATGTACAAGATCAACCTCAGCATAATCAGCAGCAACAGTAGCTGCAGCACGATCAGCATCGTCATAGTCAGAAGAAATATCGTCATGCTCCACATCGTCGTCAGTACCGTCAGTAACAGCATCATCATCAGCATGAGCATCATCATCATCATCATCAGCAGCAGCATCATCGTCATCAGCGTCATCAGCATGATGACAATTATCATCATCAGCAGCAGCATCATCATCATAAGCAGCAGCAGCATCATCAGCAGCAGTCCACCAACACAACAACTACCACCGAAACAACAACATCATGAGCATCATCATCATCACTATCATCATCATCATCATCATCATCATCATCATCATCATCATCATCATCATCGTCATCATCATCAGCACCATCATCACCACAACCATCACCACCATCATCACCATCATCGTCGTCATCGTCATCATCAACGTCATCAGCAGCATCATCAGAATCACCACCACCAGTTACATTCACCATCACCATCATCATCATCAGCAGCATCATCACCACCACCACCACCATCGTCATCATCATCATCATCATCATCATCATCATCATCATCATCATCTGCATCATCATCATCATCATCAGCATCAGCATCATCATTATCCTCATCAGCATCAGCATCAGCATCAGCATCAGCACCAGCATCACCACAACCATCACCACCATCATCACCATCATCATCATCGTCATCGTCATCATCAACGTCATCAGCAGCATCATCCGAATCACCACCACCAGATACAATGACCATCACCATCATCATCAGCAGCATCATCGTCATCACCACCACCACCATCATCAGCAGCATCATCATCATCATCAGCATCACCATTATCATCATTATCATCATCAGCATCAGCATCAGCATCATCATCAGCATCATCATCACCACAACCATCACCACCATCATCGCCATCATCATCATCGTCATCGTCATCATCAACGTCATCACCACCACCATCATCATCATCATCATCAGCAGCATCATCATCAGCAGCAGTCCACCAACACAACAATCACCACCGAAACAACCATATCATCAGCATCACCATCAGCATCATCATCATCATCGCCATCATCATCAACATCATCATCACCACAAGCACCACCACCATCATCACCATCATTCTGATTGCTGATCTGATGTTTTTGCACTCCCGCTGGCTAGCGGACCACATCAATTTGCTGCTCGCGGGGGCTCAGTCGAGCCCAGTACGATAGCTAAAGCTAAAGAGGCCGGCCTTGAGAGCCCAAATACGGCGACGGGCACACACGGTGCACGGAGACGGAGCGATAGGAAACAGGGTAAGGAAAACAGTGAGAGGCTAGGCTGGCGGGCCTCCAGAGGGCCACAAGGCTTGCTAGCAACAGGCTCAGATCTCACTCACTTGGGCCCCAGAGGCCTCACGTAGATCTCCCCTGGGAAATATCAGACTCCTTACTTTTACTTTGTAGCCTCGAACGTCACGACCTCGTCTCGCTCGGCAAAACGAACACCTGCAGCAAACGACTCACGTCTAGCTTTGTGTTCGGCACTCCTGTCGGGCTTCTCGGACTTTCTCGCGGCTCTCTGTGCTCTTTTCTTCAATTTGATACGCACCGCTGCCGAATCCTGTTGAATAGTCAAACGGTTCGTTCTTAAGTAGTGTCAAAAATACTCCAAGTCCACGCCCTCTTACGTCAAAATATCTGATAGATTCTGCATACCGTCAACCCACCGGAATTCTGCATTCGGTTGTCTCAAAAGCTCTTTCAACAAAGCACCTTCGATGGCCATACGCTTATCACGACTTAAACCAGACCCTTCCTAGGTCAAATAATCATACACTGATCTGGCATCCGTGAAACATGATCGACCCACGAACCCGGAAAGGAATCTAGAAAAGTAAGGCATGGCAACGTTTCAAAGACATCTGATTGAGCGACGGGCAAATGCAATGCTTAGTGTATCGATCTTGATGTACCGTGCCGAGGGCTGTGCTGTGCAGCGCTGTGCTGAATTGCGATGTGCCATGCCACGATTGTGCTCTATAGCGTTGTGGATCGAGTCCTCCTTCGCATCCGAGTCCTGACCGAACCGATCTGGACCTTAAGCTCGAGCTGCCTGAGCACATAACTAGTAGCTGCCCCAGAGCTGATTGTCAGGGGGACATGCCAGGAAGACGCGCCGCGGAACGTCCCAATGGACGCGCCAGGCAACGTGACACGAGACGTGCCATGGGGACGCACCGCGGGACGTGCCGAGGGGACGCGCTACGGAACGTGCCAATGGACGTGCCACGGGACGTGCCAGGGGACGCGCCGCGCGACGTGCCAGGGGGATTCGCCACGGGACGCGCCACGGAACGTGCCAAACAAGCGTTTCGCTCGAGACATCCTCAACGCACGAAAAAGTGACCCGCACCCTGTGATTTATCGATCGGGATTTCAAAAACATGATCGACCCACGAACCCGGAAAGGAATATAGAACTGTAACACATGGCAGCGTTTTAAAAGACACCTGATTGGGTGACGGGCAAATGCAATGCTGAGTGTATCGATCTTGATGTACCCTGCCGAGGGCTGTGCTGTGCTGCGCCGTGCTGAATGGCGATGTACCATGGCGCGACTGTTCTCTATAGCGTCGTGGATCGAGTCCTCCTTTGCATCCGAGTCCTGACCGAACTGATCTGGATCTTAAGCTCGAGCTGCCTGAACACATAGTAGCTGCCCCAGAGCTAATGGACAGTGGAACATGCCAGGAGGACGCGCCGCGAAACGTCCCAAGGGATGCGCCAGGCGACGTGCCAGGGGACGCGCCATGGGGTCGCACCGTAGGACGTGCCAAAGGGGACGCGCTACGGAACGTGCCAATGGATGTGCCACGGAATGTGCC